AGAGAGATATTGAATTCTGAAGAGGTCAGGACAGGGTTTATGGGGGCAGTGATGTTTGGAGGACCTGTGGAAGATGAGTCTGTTTACCAGTGGGAATGAACCCAGGAAGCAGAGGGAGGGAGGAGGGAAGTGGGGGAGGGGAGAGAGTAAAACCAGTAATGGGTCTGTTAATAGATGCTATGATTATGGGCAGCTGGGGCACAATCCAATTGGGCAACCCTGGGAGATGACACCCAACACGCCTAGGCATTCCGCCAGGAGATGCGGGAGCTGCTGTCTAGAAAACAGTTCCCGTCCCTCGGTATTTGAGGGTGTCAACGCCCTAGCATTTCTGACTGTCCCATGCACGGAGCAAGCACATTCCCATGGGCACAGGTCATCCTTAGTCAGAGATGTGGGTGCCACACAGTGTCTGCAGGTGACCTCTAGAGTGAGCCAAGGGGACAGGGGCAGGGCAACAATAGCATCTGCTACAGGTGGCTTAACATTTAACAGGACTAATCCAGATTTGGCCACAGGCCACATGGTAGAGCCTTTCAGGGCTTAGTTCTCGTTTGTATTGTTCTCATGTGTCAAAGTCATGTCTCCCCAAGTGTAGTGCAAATTCTCCAAATTGGGAGATGATAGTCTTTCAGCCAGTTTTGCTGGCCACATACCAGGCCCTCAATAGCACACAACTGATTAGCCAGGGAGAAGTAGGTCAATCACCTTGGCCTTTGTCAAAGACCAGACCTAAGCTGTCCTGAACTGCAGAGTGCCTCCTTCAGTCCAAAGCTGTTCTGGGAGATGGTGCTTAGGAGTCATCTGGATGATCCTATTCAGCTGGCTCAGTGATTCTTACCGTAATGGACTCTGCCTTTATTTTTAGTCTACAGGTGGACAACCAGCAAGCACCTGAGAGTAGCACAGCAGGGAGGTCAAACGACACAGACAGGGTGCTGTGGAGGTGTCATTCACCCACACTGGAGTCCACAGCCTGAGCTTGAATTGCAGCTCTGCAACTGAAATGTTTTACCGAGGGCAAGCTGCTTGCCTTCTGTGTACCTCATTTTCCTCACCTGTAAAATGGAGCTGATAATAGTGCCTATTGTCAGGGTTATATATATAATCGGGTTATTGAGTTGACTTTGAGTTAGCCTTTTCTAAACAGTGGCTGGCGCATGATAAATACTAGCAAAGTGATTGTTAAACAACACGAATACTCTCACTCTGAGTTCTGAAAGGCAGTATGAACTCCTATTTAGCCCCTTCCAGGGTCTCTTAACCACTTCACTCGGAAAACCTTTGCATAATACAATGTCATATGTCAGTTGTGTGTTGATAAGGAGGGGGGAGAAAAACCTTTGCTTCATGGAGGTTTTGTTATTTATTTATTTTTTAAATATATGTCAAGTCTTCAAGAGCCCACCAGGGGAAATCATTGCTGGTTTTCTCTGCCTTCTGAAATTAGCATGCCCTCATTTGGTATGATTTCATAGGTTAGTTGGGGGCCTGGAATGCTCAAAAATCATTCCATATAAATTAATGGCAACAGGGTTCCCAGATGCCAAAGAAATAACCTACCAAATAGGAATGTTCTGTTTTCAGATAGTGGGGAAAACATGTTCTACCCACTTTGAAGATGAAAAAGAGGTTCATATTAGGGTAGTGGCAAATGAAGATCACACAAATACCAGGTGGCAGACATGGGGAGGGCCCTAACCCTACGTCCGCCACCCTTCTACTCTATCGCGCTCCCCACATTAGTATTTTTAGCCCATTCTTTATGACAGTGGCTCTATAATTGGGCATGTGTTAGCATCCCCTGGAGGGCTGATTAAAACATCCCTGGGTCCTACCCTGAGTCTCCCATTCAGAGGTCTATGGTGGCCCCGGGAACTGAGCTTCTAATAAGCTCCCAGATAATACTGGTGCTACTTGTTTGAAGGCCACATTTTGAGACCCACTGTTTTAAGAATAAATCCATCTGAGAAACAGAGCAAGACATACAGTCAGCCACCTACTTAGGTCTCCCCACCCAGGTTTGTTTCAGTCATCCACATTTCCATTTACCTGCCCCCTTTTTCATCATTTCAAAATACAGTTTTTCAGAAAGACTTATTTCTACTCAACAGCTTTCATTTGGATCACTTTTGTCCTCTCGTGTTCCACTTTCCTGCCTCATCTACCCCTGTGGTGGAAAAGCACCGAAATGTGAGACTGAAAATCTAGTATCCAGTCTGGGTCCTGCCACTTCCTAACCAAGAACATCCCTGGGAACATGTACTCATCAGCAAAGTGGGGACAGTTGATTTTTGCCCTGCAATCCCACAGTGATGTTTTAATACCCCGAGGAGATGATGTGTGTGAGCATAGTTTACACATTGTATGGCCACAACAGAATTAGTATCCCATGATATGTATCTGGAGGAGTTTTCTTTCCCCACTTATGTCTTCTGCCAGTTGTGCAGTCAGTGATGCTCAGAGTATTTTCTGAACTAGCTGCATCAACATCAACTAGGGAGCTTGTTAAAAATGTAAATTCTCAGGTCCTGCCCTGACCTACTAAATGAAAAACTCCGAGGAAGACCCAGCAATCTATGTTTTAACAAGCTCTCCAGTGAATTCTGATGAATACTCAAGTTTGAGAACTATGGTTTGGTGAGCACACAGTTTAGAACTGGGTACACAGTTCAACTCAGTCACTTCTTAGGGGCTAATAACCTTAAGTCAGATAATTTACCTCTTTGAATGTCAGCTTTTTGATCTAGAAAATGGGGCAGGCTCTTCCCTTTATAGATTTGGCTGAGAAGCTAGAGAGAAGATGTATGTCAAGCATGTAAGGCTTTAGCTCTTAGGTCTTTTGGTAAAGTATCCTCACTTCTTACAATATGCCTGAGTACCTTCAGTTTTGAAGGGCTGTCATTGTGTTTTAGCCTCTTAGAAAGTTCTCCATGTTGTGTACGTGAGAGGCATGGTAGGGGAGAAGAGTTGTGTGCATGTGTTTTGTTACTCTGTGTTATTGTTTGCTGCTAATGGATATATATGTTTATCTCTTGTCATGCCACCCTCTTCTGAATAAGAAAGCTTTTTCTCTGTGTCCTTAATAATATCTTAACAGGGGCTCTCCCTGGTGGCGCAATGGGTTAGGACACAGCACTGCAAGCTAGCATAGCTACTTCAGTGCAAGTTTGATCCCTGGCCTGGAGGTGACCCACATGGCGTGGCAGACCTCTCCTGACCTGCCCGCTGCTACCCTCAGCAGTGTGCTTCATCGATCTGCCTGTTCTGCTCCCCACTCTGTCTCCGGTGAAGCCTCTCACCTCCCCTGCACCTCTGGCCTGTACCCCAGTTCTTATATGCATAAATAGATAAATCTTTTTAAAAAATATTAACTAATATTCCCAGTGAAGAGTCCTCATATTTACATGGCACTGTATTCTTTTGGCAGTTATATCCACAGGAAATTGCACTCACAGGTAGTGCAGCCCCAGGATTGCTGGCCTTTTTACTGTCCTCCTTGGGACAACTTTTCTCCTTATTTTATAAGCTTCTGAGTATCTTCTTTTCTGAAAACCATGCTGCTTCATTTGGTTGATTCTCTAGCTCCATTAAATTTCCATGCAGAAGTGTCTTCACGTAGATACTTTTAAACACTAGTAAACATGAGAAATAGGCCCTCATATATGTGGCCAATTGCCTTGTGACAAAGTTGTCAAGACCATTCCATGGAGAAAGGACAGTCCTTTCAACAAAAGGTGCTAGAAAACTGGATGTCCAGATGCAAATGAATGCAGTTGGACCCTTACCTTGTACTACATACAAAAATGAACTCAAAATGCATCAAAAGACCTAATCATAAGAACTAAAACTATAAAGTTCTTAGAAGAAACCATAAGGGAAAATCTTCATGGCATACAGTTTGGCAATGATTTCTTGGGCATGATGATGGAAGTGCAGACAACAAACTAAAATTAGACTCCATCAAAATTAAAAACTTTTGTTCATCAAGGAACATTTTATTAAGAGAGTAAAAAGACATCCCATAGAATGGGAGAAAATATTTGCCATTCATATAGCTAATAAATTAATTTCCAGAATATATACAGAACTACTAAAACTCAACAACAGAAAAACCCCAGCCAACCCAACTCAAAAGTGAGCCACAGATTTGAATAGATATTTCTTCAGAGAAGATAATCGAAGAGCAAATTATTATGGAAATGCAAATCATAGAAATGCAAATTAAAACCATGGTGAGATATCATTTCACACCTCTTATCAAAACAACAGAAAATAACAAGTACCAGTGAGGATGGAGAGAAACTGGAGTCCTGGTGCCTGGAAAATGGTGCAGCCATTGTGGGGCATAGTTTGGCATGTCCTCAAAAAGTTAAGCAAAAAATTCCCAGATGACCTAGCAATGCCACTCCTACTTATATACTCCAAACAATTGAAAGCGGAGATTCAAACAGATACTTGCACACCAGTATTCACAGAAACATAATTCACAATAGCCAAGCGGTGGAAAAAACCCAAATGTCCATCAATGATAAACAGATAAACATTATGCGCGACAGTCATATAATGAAGTATCAGCCTTAAAGAGGCATGAAAAATGTGACACTGCCTGCAACATGGACGACCCTTGAGGACATTACATTAACTGAGATGAACCCGTCACCAAAGGGCAAACACTGTGTGAATACACAGACATGAGGAACACAGAATGGCAAATTCACACTGACAGAAAGTAGAAAGTGGTTCCCAGGGACTGGACAGAGGGGTGATAGGGGAGTAATGGTTTAATGGTCATAGAGCTTTGATTTGAGATAATGCAAATGTTCTAGAAATGGATAAGTAATGGTTGTAAATATACTTAATTCCAGTGGATGTATTTAATGCCAGCTTGCTTGAACATGGTTCAAATGGTAAGTTTTATGTTATATTTATTACCATAGGAAAAAAATTCTAAATAAAAATAGGGGGGAGAGAGAAAAAAAGGAAAAGAGGTACTTTACCTTCCAGGGATGTAACCAGAACAACCTGAAGACAAATAATGACAAGGAATATCTTGACTGTCAGTAAAATCTCTTCAGGTCTGCCAGCATGGCCACACTGCCCGCCAAAGAAAAACATCCTAGAATGAAATAAGGAGAAAACAGTTCATCACCACTTGCCCTAACTAATCAAGACACAGTAACTCCCAAAAGGTCAACTACTTCTCAACCAAAGCAACCTGCAGTTCCACTTCCTCTACATTCCTTGGATTCCTGAGAATCTGCAGTGCGGAGGACATGGCCACGAAAAAGCAGTACTTACTAGGCGAGGACCACGAGTGGGTAGGACATCATAGCAAACTTGCTGCATAAGGTAACTCATGCGGATGTATGGAAAATGTCAGCACATGCAAACATCAAGAGAGGGCATCAAAACACATATGTACCATTATTACTCTGTAATGGCTGGGTAAAGACTGTGCCAAAACCAGAAAGGGTCACAGAACCCTATAAACATAAATTCTAACCCCATTTATGTCTTATACTGTAAACGATGGGGACATTGCATTTTCTCTTTATTACATATTGCTATTGCCTCTTGACTTTCAATAGTCAGGACGGTGGAGTCAACATTTTATATAAAGCAAACTTTATATCAGTATTGAAATTATAAGCACTATTTATCATTCATGTATTCGTTCAACAAATTATTTACTTTTAATGTAATTTATATATTTTATATCATTGTTCATTTTTGCACAGTGCTTACTCTCTCCTTTCAGGTGTAGTCCCCACAGAATTCCCACCACCCATTCACCCTGCACCATCACCATAGCCCCCTGTGTTCTTCCTGTCCCTGTTCTGATTCCTCTCCCTTCCCTCCCCCACAGAATGTCTGGTTTATATCTGATTTATAGTTGCCTGCTAATTTTTTTTTCAACAAATATTTTTGAGGGCTAATATATACCAGATGAAATGTGAGGGCTGAGGAGGAGTTAACTAGAAGAAATACACATAATGGAGGTGAAGCAAGGGCTGGAGGGAGCTTGGCATGTCTGTCCTCCTGTGGTAGAAGAGCTGGCCAGCAGAACTCCCGGGTGGGCAGTCTGCACCAGCAGCAGAGGCTGGCAGGGCATGCTAAGAGTGGAAGAAGCCAGCCCACTCACAGCCCCACTGATAAGCAGGGGGCAGTGAGAGCCCACAGAGAGTGCCCCCTACATGGCCACAGGGGGAGTTGCTGGAACCATGCTATAGCTCCAGAGCTCAGGATGCCCACAAACAGCAGTGCAGCTTCTGCTGGCCCAGTAGCTAGCACATACATACACAATGTCTGAGTGACTTTGGACCAGTTGTTTCTGTGGCCAAGATTCCCCACTCTAGGAAAATCTATCTAGCATGAACCTGACAGTGTTGCAGTGGCAAATAAACAAAGGTCCTTGTACCGTGGCTGACTCTGTGAATGCACCATAAAAGCTAATTGCACTCTTCATATCAACCACCAAATATCTGCTTTGCCCCTAGTATGTGCAGAGTAAGATAGTATAGGGGCTGGGCATGAAGGCATAGAAAGACAGGGTAGAATCACAATTTCTCAGTCTCCAGGAAAACTGGGCAATCCAAGTGGGAAATCAAAGAATCCTGTCATTTAATGACCATCACCAGTATCAAGGAAATGCGCCTTTCCTTGGACATGGCATGATAAGGTCTAGACCATAAGATTAATTCTTCTCCTTCCAAAGATGGCTTACATTCTAAAATCAATTGTATGAATGACAGAATATGTTAACAAGTAATAAAGTGCCTGTCATTTATACCTCATCTTCAGCACTTTATCCTCTCTCTGTTCATAATGGCATATTGCTGACCCTCCCAAATGAGTCACTCAGATGAGAATGTTAATATAATTGTGCAAAGATGTAGCAATGTCTCTTTGGAGAAAAATTCAAGTGTCTCCTACAACTGCACACAACAATATTGATGAATCTCAGAAACATAATATTTAGTAAAGAAGCCAGACATAAAAGAATGCATATTACATGATTCTATTTATGTAAGGAACAGAAGCTGACAAAACTGATGACTAGAGTAAGAAGTCAGGAGCATGGTTATCACTGGAAGGGGGAAGTGGGTGTAATAAATACAAGTGGACACAGGAGGCTTCTGAGGTGCAGGTAATATTCTTTGGGCTGCTTATCTAAGTGTGTTCACTATCCGAAAGTCACTGAATTCTACATGTATGTCTTAAAATTTTCAACATGAAAATAAAAATTAAATTTTTATTTCTGAACTTAGTCCTCTCCAAAAGCAAAACAACAATAAAAAAAAAAAACCCTATCCTGAATGAACTAAACCTCTACAAGAAAATTCTTGTAGAATTGCCTTAGACTCAACTCTTGTGGAATTTGTAGATGTGTTAGAATATTTATCACACAAGTATCTAATTTTAGCTCCAAAAAGAGTAACCAGAGTAGGTTATTTCTAGAAAGGAACTCAGAATTCACCTAGCCTCAAACCCTCATTCTACAGGCCAAAAAAGAGACCCAGTATGCTTTAAGGATGTGTCAGGGTCATTTGGCTACTTGGTGAGACTCCTACTCTTTGTTCCAGACTGCCATACCAGCATCCTGAGAATTTGCCTCCGTAGAAGTAAACCTGAGTCCATCAGGTTAAATAAGTCAACAAATTCCAAGTGCTGTTATACAACTTCAAAGTTCCCACAAACTCTGTCTTGAGCTTTGCCAGCTCTTAGTGCAATACCTAAGTGGTATACAAGATATGGTCAAAGTTAAATAAGTCATGGTACACCATGATTATGATGTGTTGTGACTTGGTCCCCTGATTAAAATGAACCATGTCTTTTCAGCAACTAAATGGGTCAGAAAGGCCAGTATGAACAGTGATACCATCAGTCATCTTGAAAAGAGAACACGGATCAAGAATTTACTACAGACTGGCACCATCTGAAAAGCCTGTTTTCAGTTGTCAAGCCTGGATTATGTTTCTTCTCAATATGTGTTTCCTAATAGGAGGAAGAGTTTTCTGGTATTTGCTTGCCATCTGCATAGAGAACATTCTGCTAGGTCATGAAGTCCCCAGGATCACTAATCAAAGAGGTATATCTAAATGTTGAAACCCTTATGCACAGAAGTCATTGTTATCTTTTTCAACTAGAACGCTTCTTCATCTTCTGGTGCAAACTGGGTTAGACCAGTGCTATCTAGGTTATCAGCAAAGATGATTTGAATAGTCACTGGTTCCTAGCAAATTTTCAAAAGATGGCTAGTGAACTAACAGAAATTACTGCGAAATCTACTTGCTAGCACTTGAACTGTAAATCTAGACCTTAAACAAGACAAACTACTCATTAAATATGATTCCACATTGATCATGACCCAGAGCCTCCGCTGTCTGGTTGTGGAGGCTGATGCAAATGGCAGCCTCTAGGCTTAAACAGAGCACAAGCTGCATGACTATGCCTTGACCTGCCTCTACCACTCATTACAGAGCTCTTCAACCTCATTCAATAATATTATTATCATATTTTCTAAAATGGACATTAGTGTAACCTTTATTGACAATGAATGATGACTCCATCTTCATGGAGATATAGAATAATTAAAGAATAAGATTAAAAAGAGGGAAATAGCTTGATGTCACTACAGAGCAGAGCAGGTCTGGTTGAGGGTTATTCTCTGTTACTCCTGGTTAATATAATTGCCTGGCATTATTTGACCATACAATAATTGCTATGATGCAATGATCAGTATTTTCGATCTGACTAAGAGGTATAATTGTCCCCCTAATTCCTCTTAGAAACTTTATAGTTGAGTATTATTTACTTGAGTATATACTCAGTATTTATTTATTTGAGTATTTACTAAGTAAATATCTCAACTGTCTAACTATTTGAGATAATCATAATGGTGTTGGATAACAGGACTAACACAAGAAGAAATTAAAAAGGGAGGCATGAAATAGGTTCTCAGGGCAAACCAAGAACTAAAAGGTGGAAAGCATCTGGATCATTGTCAGAGAAGTCAAAATCTCAGGGCTGGGTGTGTTTGTTTTTTAAGTTGTAAGTTTAACAACTTCAAAGAAAGAATCAGGAAACTATTAGTGAAAGCATAACTAAATTTCAATATAAACTTTACTAAAAGACTAACACAGTGGACATCCCAGAAAAATGGTATCTTTTCAGCATTTCAGGAATATTTGGGTTAGATTATTTACATCAAATCTTCTCCTAAAGACAATGGAAATCATGAATAAAATGTCAAAAGCATTTTCTTCAATATAACAAAGAACTGACAAGATAGATAGGAATCACCAGGCCAAAAGTGAAGCCAAATTAGGAACTCAGGGAGGGAATTTAAGTAATGGAGCCACTTCTGGCCTTAACATGGTGAAACTGTGATAACAAAAAAAATTTTTTTTCAAGTAATTTATGGGTTAAGAAAAAAGTCATAATATAGACTAGAAAATATTTGACATGATGAACAACAAAAACACTGTATCAAAACATATGGGCTAGAGGCCCTCCCTGGTGGCGCAGCGGGTTAAAGCGCAGCACTGAGAATCTAAAGCCGCTTCCTCATGAGTTCGATTCCCGACTGCCCCGGAGGTGACCACATGGCGCGGCAGACCTCTCCTGACCCGCCCGCTGCTCCCCTCAGCAGTGTACTTCGTCGATCTGCCTGTTCTGCTCCCCACTCTGTCTCTGGTGAAGCCTCTCACCGCCCCTGAGCCCCTGGCCTGTACCCCAGTTCTGTATGCACAAATAAATAAATCTTTAAAAAAAAAAAACAAAACCACAGAGATGTGTTTAAAAAAAAAAAAAACATATGGGCTAGAGCAAAGATCTTTAGAATGAAAGTTATATCTTAAATGTGTATATTAGAAAAACATGTACATTAATGAGTTATACTCTTCAAAAAGTTTGGGGAAGAATAGCAAAATAAATTCAAGAGAAAAGGAGATAATAAAAACAAAAGTATAAAGTAATGATATAGAAAAAAGAAATAAAATGAAGGTTATTAACAAAACCAAGGAAAGAGAATTCTGGCAAAATTAGGAGACAGGGTAGAGGGAGTAAGGGAGGGGGGAGAAATGAGAAGCAGACCAAGTGTGAGCAAAGAAACAATAGAAGCAGATAATGAGCAACATAACTGAAGATGCTATAAATATAAAAAGGATAAAAAGATCTTAGGGACAACTTCATTCAGTACTTTATAAAAATCTAAATAAAGATGAACAAATCCCTGGGAAAAATATATATCTTACCAAGAAGAAATAATAACTGAATGGACGTGTAACTTAAAGACTCAAAATTTTTTCCACTAAGAAAATTCCAGGCCCAGATGTTTTCATTGATTATTCTATAAATATTTCAAGAATGAGAATTACATTCTCCTAAGAACTCAGAGAATAAAGAAGAAGAGGACAGCATAACTCATTTTCACCAGCCTACCATAACTGTGGTGCCAACGAAAGGCCTTACATTTTAACCTATTTTATAAATTAAATAAGACTATTTACAGAGCACTCTAGAATGTTCACAAAGATGTCTGGCAACAATTTCAAATCTTTTATAAGTTGAGGTAATTTGAAAAAAGGAACCATTCCAAATTTGAGCAACAAAAATTGTTTGAAGATAGAGTCACTAAGAACTATAGCCAGCAATGCTGTAGTAAGAGAAATGGTATCCCATATGCCCCAAAATACCATGTCCCAAAGATGACAGAAACTGCGTTCGTTAACTGCTAAGTGCTGAATATGAACTCTAGAGCAGCGGCCCTGTGTATCATTTGTCAGTAATGAACTCTGACTGTAATATGAAGTCTCCACATCTCTAGAAGCAAATGGAAGGAAAACTATTTGTTTGGTCTTCACAGTGCAAAATAATTTTCTTAATGAGCATTAAGTGCTTTCTAATGCAGGAAAAAAGCTTTATTCAATAAAACATCAATATCTGATGTGTAACATCACAAGTAATTTATGTACTTACAATGAACATACACTCACAAAACCTTGTGAAAGGTGTTAATTTTTTCCACTTCCTCAGTCATCTCTAAATTCCTCTACTGTCCTCCATGTACCCACCACTCTCATTAGCCATATGTTGAATTACCAGAGGCAAAGCGCAAGCCTATTTCCTCTCTCTTCCCTCACTCTTCAGGCTTCTCTCTCAATGTGTATAATGTGTTCAATATACACGAACAAGCAGAAGAGTGTAGCATTCAAGAGCATGCGCGGTCGCACCACTGATCTGCCTTCCAATCCAAGCTCCATCACTTTCAGTGTAACCTTGGCCTGTTTCTTTTTTTTTTTTTAAAGATTTATTTATTTATTCATACAGAACTGGGGTACAGGCCAGAGGCTCAGGGGCGGTGAGAGGCTTCACCAGAGACAGAGTGGGGAGCAGAACAGGCAGATCTACGAAGTACACTGCTGAGGGGAGCAGCGGGCGGGCCAGGAGAGGTCTGGCTCGCCATGTGGTCTCCTCCGGGGCAGGCGGCAGGCGGGAATCGAACTCATGCGGAAGTGGCTTCAGATTCTCAGTGCTGCGCTTTAACCCGCTGCGCCACCAGGGAGGGCCCCTTGGCCTGTTTCTTAACCTCTATGGACCTTAAACTTTGCATCTGAGAATAATGATAGGGCCTGCCTCACATGGTTATATTGGGATGAAAATGAAGTCATAAAATCAAGATTTTAGTAGAGTCAGGAAGTGTTAGCATTAGCAATTATTGCCTGTATAATTAGAAGACAAGTTAATCGTAATTACATGCAAAATATAAATAGATTTCAGAATTATTTCCTACATCCATTCATCTAGTTTACAAATATTCATTGGGTCTGTTACATTGAAGTATTCTAGGGACTCAAGATACTACAATAAGGGACACAGACCCCTCCTGCCCTCAGAACCTTGAAGCCACTACTTAGATTCATTAGTCACTGGTGTCACCAACTTAATAGTGGCTTTTTTTTTATTTTAATTTAAGAGACACTTTCTCTTTGTGGTCCATGAGACTCAACTTGGTCTGGAAACAAAACAAAGCATCAGAACACAGTATCCTCTCCTATGGATACTTGGGCCTCACCTCACCCCAACTCCCCAGCATGCAACCCACAACAAACACTCAAATAGGATTGTTAATTGATTTGGTCCAGCACTTGTTGCACAATAACTCTGTCAATATGTACAGGAAATGGGAGATTCTCCTTAAAGGCATCTGCAGGTGTTGCTCTGCATTGCAGGGTGGGGGCAGGGGGGTGGCAGGGGCGCATATTTGAAAGAAAGTGAGCCACTGGGAAAAGTGAACCACCCACCGATACTCTGTGCCCTTTCTTGGCAAGCCTTGCCAATCTCCCAGAGTGGCTATTTTCTAACTGTGTGACTCTGCTCTGCTATTTTGATCTTGTTTATGGTAGTAACTTATAAATGTCTATTACAATAACTATCATGCTATTTATTAGCTAGGTTATAATAGGATAACTTTAATTATAATAAATATTTGTTTTGTTTATAAGAACTCCATTATTTATACCAATGAAGTCCCAGAAATAACCACTATTATGAGTCTCAAAGGAAACAGGAAGTGTAAATGTCAGTAGTGGCTTTGGAATCTCTATGCAGAAGGCGAGTGGGAGCAGAAATCAGATGGGGAGTCTTTGGAAGCTGCGTGTGTACAACACTGCAGAGAAAGCATACTGCAACAGTCCATTTCAAAACGTAAGAACTGCTGAAGATAGGGAATCCAGTCCAGGGAGATGAAAAGGAGAAAACAGTGAAACAAAATCCCAAGAGTCCTATATAAATAGTCATTCTCCTTCCCCAGATTTTCCTGCACTACATAAGGTCAAATCTGTACCTATTACCGAATGTTATTCCAAAAACAACCAGGTTATCCAGAAGAAATGCATTATCCAGAATCCCCAAGGAAAAGGAAATGTCTGAATAAGGCCCCAAGAGGGAGTGAAGAATTAAAAATAAAACAAACCAACAAAAGAATAAAGCAGTAATGGGGATAGGGGCTAGAATGAAAGCAAGTGATTTGAAAGAAAGGGGGAAAAGCCAAGCCTGTTTAGTATTGGATCACATAGAAACAGCCTCACTTACCTGACAGGAAGTTCAGGAGATGGAGAAACTCTATGCAAATCTGAAAAAAAAAAAAAATTAGCTCAATGGAAAGTGGGGCTTCTTGGCACCACAAGGCTTCATTACTACAGCCAGACCTGCGCCTAAGACCCCCTGCTGTGCGCCAAGACATGAACTTGGCAGCAGAATTACAAAGGAAACAGAGGAAGCAAACCCTGCTCATAAGGAACTTATTATAACTGTAAGACAAGCCCAAAGCCAGCTTGGGGCTGCTTCGTTTCTATGTTAGTGGCATTGTGGGACTGCTCAGTCTCAGGCTTCCTTAGCAAGCTTGTAGGGGCACCAGACAATGAAGAGGTCAGGCCTGAAAAGGGGTGGCCCCTTCTAGAGGTCATGCTTTTGGTAGCTACGTCTTCATGATTTGTGAAGTCCCCAGAGCCTAAACTCCTTAATGTCAAGGATTGGACCGTCTATATCTCTTGTGCCCCCAAAGCCAGAGGCACAATCTTTCTCCATAGAGGAGCTAAGAAACTATTGATTGCTAAGTTTGGCTCAGAGTGGAAAGGAGTGAGCAGAAGCCCTGGCAATAGCACAAGTGAAAGATAGACAGGCCCACGCTGGGGAGAGGAATTGGTGTGCCCACACAAGGCAGAGTGTGCTGCTGGCAACTGGACTCACATCTTTCAGAACATTCCATTGTGCCTTACTTCAAAACCAAAACATTGGCACAGCTATTTACTCAAGAATGACTGTCACTTCACAGTGACAGTGATTTTCAAATCAAGATGTGCACAAGGAAACAATCTACAGGGTGAATCTTGGAACCATCTGAATCTTGGGTTCAGTCAACAGACTGTTAAGACATGTTCAGTGCCCAAGAAGGAATACAGAAAATGATTTCAAAGAAATAAGAAGTCATAGTGAGTTTCTATTGGTCCCAGTATATCCGTTAAGAGGAGAAAATGGAGTAGTTGTTAATAATTAAAGTCTAATATGTCAGAAAAACTTCATTAAGCAGTGTTTAAAGAAGAAAAATGAAGGCCAAGCATCCTTCCTGTCCTAAGATGAAGAAATTACAACCACATGTCCTGACGCTCAACGTGGAATGAATGTAGGATTAACAACTGAAAACCATTAAGATAATCAAAGAAACATATCAATGGTGACTTGAATATGGAAATAATTTCATTTAAAATGTGTGCAAATGAGGATTTTCTACATAAGGATTTTTGATGGAATTTCACAACTCTAGCACATTGTCTCTTCCAAAGCCTTACTGATAACCACAATAAGGCACTCAGGGGTTCCTAGTAATTCAGTTTACTAACAAACAACATGAGGCTCTCTGCTCCTTTGGAACACCTTCAGGTAGAAAAATAGGGCAAGGAGTAGTGAAATTTGTTTTGCTCACTGGATGAAAAAATTTAAAAACCCAATAACATCGAAGACTAGAGATAAGAGAGCATGTGGGGAAATGAACAGTTGTATCCACCTTAAGTGGAAAGAGAAACTTTTAAAGACTAGTTTGGTTATGTTTTGAAATTTTATTTGTTTTTATTTCAAAAACCAACTATATATGTTTTTATTTTATTTTTATTTATTTTTTTAAAGATTTATTTATTTGTGCATACAGAACTGGGGTACAGGTCAGAGATGCCGAGGGTGAGAGGATTCACCAGAGACAGAATG